TTACTTTTAGTTTTGTCTTTGCCTATGTTCGGATTGTTAATACAATGCTGGTAAGACATTTTAATTGTATAATTATTTATTTGTTTTATGGATTAGATTTTAAAAGTTCTACCGTAGATAATAGAATATAATTCCGAAATTACAAACCTAAATATTTTTTCATACATTATTAAATATGTTCCTTAGGGCATAAAATGTAACAATGTATTTATATTTCTAGGTTCCTACCAGAATCTCCAAAGTGGTTGATGTCTAGAGGGAAAACGAATAAGGCCTGGATGGTTATGACAAAACTTTTGCCATCTGCAAATGATATGATAGTTGATAATGATAATCAAACAGAAAAAAAAATCGAAAAGGTTTGTTGGTTAGTTTTGAAATCATGAAGTTTAAACATACTTTTCACATTTTTAATTTTTATTGCCAATAGATTAGGTACCTATACGTAGAGATATAAGAATACAGTATTTTATTTTTTTTCTATATCGTACCATATTATACCTTGTACTATTCTCAGCGGCAGATTGGCTAAATATTTCGGCCCCGGAAATTACAGTATGACCGACCCACCATCCAATAATAATAATTTTCCATAAAAGTCTTCTTTGTATATGGATTAAATGCTTGCAGAATTGTTTACATCACAATCTTAAAATTAAATATAATATACTTAAATACACTATTTTTACAAAATAATTTTTAATACTAGTACATCGGCTAAGTATTATAATACTACTACCGGCCCACCGGGAACTTTCCCGTTATCCCGGTGGGCCAATCTGCCGCTGACTATACGTGTATTAAATTTTGTATAACACTGAGTGTATCAAAAGTATAGTATTTTAAATTTCTATAATATTTCGTATTATATAATATATTAAATGATATAAAAATACTATATATATAAAGAAAAACAATTTTGAAATTACATATAAAACTTAAACTTGATTACTCAACTATTATTCATTTTCCATTTGAAAATATTGATTTTTATTTATAAAAATTAGAGAAATTAAAAATCGAATAAAAAGAAAATATTGAACGACTTATGAAGAAAATAAGTAATTAATACAATGTTTAATAAACATAAATCCAAATACTTTTGTTCGCTTGGCGCAGAAAAATGTTATACAAATTTAACATTATTGTATAAAATAAATACAGCGTGTGTAATACCATCTATAATACGATATTATGCAAATTATATCACTAGGTATATGTGAAGTATTTTTCTCTATGATTTTGTTTGTTTTTAATTTATAATATGTTTAATTAAGACTTTTATTACAATGAATGTTATTTTTAAACGAAGTAGTCAAAAATGAATCAAGGAAAATTGATGGAATTTTTATCAACTTTTACTTCATTGTTTTCTACTTGCGACTTATTTGCAAAGACTGCTATTTCTTTTTCTTGTGGATTTGCTTGTGGCTTATCATACTATGTTATTGGTAAGTTATAATTTATTTGATTATAATATTTTAAATATATTTATATAACTTAGTTATTTTTATTATATCAAAACAATTATGTAATATAAAATTTATTTTATTTTAATTTAATAGCATTGAATGGGGATAGTATTACTGCTGATCGTTACATATATGTTGCTTCAAATGGAGTCGTTGAAGGTTTAGCTTATTTGTCAACTGTGCCATTATTAATGATTTTTGGACGTAAGCAAGCTGTTTCAGGTTTATTTTTTGCATCGGGTGTATTGCAAGTTTCATTATTACTGATACCGCAAAGTAAACATTATCATGTGTATACAATAAAATAATGTACATTTTTAAAGGACCCATATTATTAATAATTTATATTTTTAGATAAAGCAAATATATTATTGCTTGTGACTTTACTTGGAAAATTTTGTGTTAGTGCCGAGTTTTCAGTTTGCTTACTCTATATATCAGAATTATACCCGACTACAATAAGAAATACTGGTCTGGGGACATCATTTACTGTTTCTCAGATAGGGTCTATCATTGCACCTTATTTAGTCGAATTATTGGTAAAAATAACAAAACAATATATGTTATACGATGTTAAATTGTACTATTTAAATTATTGATAGTTAATATTCGTAATTGTTATCGTTAATGCTATGTTACAGGGAGCGAAAGCATGGTATGGTCCTAGTATGGTTTGTGGAATACTAGGTATTTTTGTTTCTAGTTTGGTTCTAATGTTACCTGAGACAAAAGGAACTGTATTGCCAGATACACTAGAAGATATGACAAATACTAATTCTGTCAAAGTATCCAACTGTTGTAAGTTTTAGACATAATTTAAAATCTTTTACTTTAATTCTTTATAAAATATACTTTGATAATTCAATCACTAGTTTTAGTTTTTATTTAATTATTATCCTATTTCGAAATGTTGTTTTGTTAATTTTGTTAATTAATTTATTTGTAACTAGATGATATGCTAATATACATAATATAAATTATATGATTAGGTTTATATATTATTAATAGGTTAACGGTTTGACATTTAAGTACAAGATACTAAGATGTTAGTTTAACCTTTACCTCATATAATAGTGATAGTATGTCATAATTGTTATTATAAACAAACAACATTATTGTTCATATTATCCAGATAATAAATAATAGTAGAAATTTATACTTAATAAAATATTTTTAATTTATATTAGTGGGGTCGCTTCTAGAGTATTGAAAAGTGTGTATATGTGAAAAAATTAGTATTATAAACTAATAAGAATAAATGATGAATAAATACATATTACTAAATATTCAATTTAAAAGATATTTTGGGGTATTCTACAGTTTGAACTTGGAGCTTCCTCCAGTGTCGGATTAAGGGACAATGGCGCCCTGGAGCAAATTTTTTTTCCCGACTCCCTTCCAAAAAAATAAAGTTTTAATGAAACAAAAAAAAAAAAAAAACTTGATTTCTATGTATAAATTAAGAAAATAAAATATACCTAATGTAATAATTAATCTACTTATACTAAAAAGTATAACTAACTAGTTTAACTATATGTTTAATGTCACAGAATAGTTCTCCAAAGAATTTTTTTAAATTAATTGAAAACAATGATGTTTATTTTTATTTTTTTTGTAAGCAGTTTTTTTTAGTAGTGAAATTAGTCCAAAAGTTTGATCCTGCAACTCAATGGAAATTGCATGTAAATAGTTCTTAAACGTAATTTTTTTCTTATTTCATAGTTCTTAGAGGTGTAAGGAATAACTGCTGAAAAATCGAGTAAAAATATTAAAATTTGTCAAAAACAACTTTTTTCACTAAATCGATTTTGGGTATGTAGTCCAAAAGTAATGATACTAAAAAAATGTTATATATTATTCAGTATGTCTCATAAGTCCCGTATCACCCTTAATATCTCCACGGGAAATCAATATATTTAAACACGGTTTTTTTTTACAATACTTAGTATAGAAATTCTGATTAAATAGTATGAAATTCAACTTTTTTTTTTAAAAATTAAAAAAAAAAAATTTTATGCATTTTAAAATTTTCAATTTTTAAGGTAACCATTTTCTTGAGCATATTTTATAAAGCAGTTAAAAAAAAAAATTTAAAATTGAATAAAAATTGACCAAATTAGAGCAAGTTATGTTTTTGAATAATTATAACAAAAAATGAATTTTTTCACATATCAATAATCCAGTCCTTTGGCCACCTAGGTCACCCAACTTAACACCAATGGATTTTTTTTTATGGGGTTATTTGAAAAATCTTATGTATCCGTCGTGTTTATTGCCTGATCTCCGTGACAAAATTGAACAAAGTATTCAAAATATTTTACTTGAGACATTAGAAAATTTTAAAAACTCTTAGGTCTAAAAACTTTAGCTCTGTGTTACAAATAATGGAGGTCACTTTGAACATTTATGAAAAAAAATGTAATGCATTATTCTCGTTTTTATGTAATCGAATCTTTTTTTTTATCAATCAAGTTTAAAAATATTATATAAATTTTAATTTTAATATTTCCTAAAAGCTCCACTAATAATTTACAGATATTTACAGAATGTTATTCAATCGAAATTAATTAAATCGAGCAATTCCTATTTTGCTAGGTAACAACTATTCTTATAATTATTCAAAAACACAACTTGCTCTAACTTGGTCGATTTTTATTCAATTTTAATTTTTTTTTTTTTTTTTAATTGTTTTAAAAAATATGCTCAAGAAAATGGCTACCTTAAAAATTGAAAATTTTAAAATGCATAAAAATTTTTTTTTTGAATTTTTGAATTTTTTTAAAAAAAAAATTGAATTTTATGCCTTTCAATCAGAATTTCTATACTAAGTATTGTAAAAAAAACCGCGTTTAAATATATTGATTTCCCGTAGAGATATTAAGGGTGATACGGGCTTATGGGACATACTGTATATTTAATATATGTTTACTATATATTAATTAAATATAATAATAATGGTATTTATGAAATTATATAACTAAGAAATACAGTAAAGCAAGAGGTGATAGTAAAATTTATTAATAATTTAATATTGTGTAACATCCTTTATTGAGTATAGTTACAGATATATTTTTTGTCAATATTTAAGAGTATATCGACGCATCTTCATGCTTACAAACTTATTTACAGCTTCATCTAAATTGCGTGCAGTATTTGATTCTACGTTAATAACATTTATCTGTTATCACCCATTGTCAAGCGCAAAAAGCTTTTTACTCTTTTTAAGGAAGAGAAGTATCTTTCATTAGAAACTGTTGTATGTGAAAATAATTGAAAGTAATTAGAGAGTTTCAGAAAATGCAAAAGGAATTTCGATAAAGTAATAATTGTTTTGAAGTTGGTATGATGAGATTGTTTTAACAAAGATTTTGCTGATTGTAATTCAGAAAGAATTTTGAATTTATTTATATAAAAATATGCAAAAGGTATTAAAAAATATTCTAAAATAGCGGAATCAAAATATTTTAGACTTAAAGGATTAAAAACATGAAAAATATTAAAGAGTTTTTGATTTTCATAATTATGAACTTTATTTATACAAATTATGTAACATAATGCCCCATGTTTTTTTCTATTGATTCAGAAAAAAAAAAACAAAATATTTATTTAAAAATAAAATATATTGATCAGTTAAACGTTAGACACTATCAATTATTCAGGTAAATCAAATTTTAAAGTGAGCTTAATTACAACGATATTGGATTTTAAATACGCAATTGTATGCCTTGCGCAGTCCAAATGATCGCCATTGTTTATAGAACCCTCTATTCTTATGTAATCTCCTTATAGTCTATATATATATATACAGAGTGCATCAAAAGTTGGTTCCTAAATTTACATAACAAATAAAATATTTTATTTATATTTATTAATAACGATCTATCTAAAATGTTAAATTGCATCATAGGCCTTATACTTAAGTATAAGGTCTATAATTGCATTGATAGTCGTCGGGCAGACTGATTTTCATATTCGGTAAGAGATAGCGCTACCATCTCTATGTTTTCAGGTTTTGTGACCGTAACTAGTTGACCGATGCGCTGTGCATCTACAGAACCTGTTCAAAAAAACTTATTGTATATTTTTGTCACATTGCGACGAGAAGGTACAGTCGATTCGGAAAGCGTGCCTGAAAGTCATCGAAAATCGTGGCATAGTCGGCATTCAACTGCAGATACGAAACCAGTAAAAAATTCGTACTTCTTTTGAAAATTTACCGTTGCCGACTTCCATATTAATCGCAAGTAAATTAATGAAATTAACTAAATGACACACACACAAAGCCAGATTAAGCACCTATTGGGCCTAGGGGCTGAAATTTTATATTGGCCCTTTTGATAAAACATGCTTTACAAAGCTGCTCACTATGCTCACAAAACGATACATTTTTTTAACTATTTCACAAATTGTCAATTGCATTATAAAATTATAAAATTAATAGGTATGTACAATTTTTGTCTATAAAACTACTAATTTTAGTATGACAAAAAATGTGTTCCAGCTGAAAATCGTTTGGGCCCCTTTCACTTGGGTACTCGAAAGGGCCCCGGGGCTACCGCCCCGGCTGGACCCCCCCTTAATCCGGCCTTGCACACACACACCACACGTCCGTACAACATACTAATTTTTTTCTAAAGTTCAATTACTTATACCAATAATACCTGCTGCCATTGTTATATGTGATTGTTATAATTATTATATAACTGATTAGGTATCTATAAATATAAAATCCAAATAATCACTGATATAATAATACCACTGACCGCTGTAACTCAAAAACTACGCAACGTACGAACTTGTAATTTGGAATAGAGGTTCTGCTCATATTTGAACCGTGGGATAAAAAAGAATTTTTCGAAAATCGCATATTTAAGGGCCGAAATAGTTTTGGACTGGATGTATACATTTTTTATTTTTTCATTTGTTAAATATGTGTTGATTTTAATAATCATCGATTAAGAATTATGTAAATTATTAAGCCGTATAAATCAATAAAATCAATAAATAAATATTAGATTTATAACATTTTATGCTTTTTTAACCTAACATTTTTGGGTTAGAGAGTTGTGCCAGTTTTCTCATCTAAAATAATTAAATATCCCCTTGGGGCGAACGGGTAATTCAACTACAAAAAAAATGAATATTTGTTGATGTGTCCTTTGTACCTTCCTAAACTACTCGATATGTACGACGGTTTGTGTCTGATGGACTCCGAAATCACAGAACCTATTTTAATGAAATCTAGCACAGATATAGATTAGACCTTGGTGACGGACATATTCTACCTTTTGTTGCGTAAAAAAGTAAAGGGAAGCATCAGAGGTCTTGATAAGGCCCGAACGAGCAGTTTTTGTTTTGTTGTTGCTATAACAACTGAAAGCGATTGACTAACTTCCAAAAGCGTCTATATTCTCCTCCAAAAACGACTTTCACCTCTTCGGTACGAGGTATTGATTTACAAGATTTTTTCTGTATATTGAAATGTAGATGTATTACATTTGGAACACAATGCAACTGACTTTTTAAATTCACTTGATTTACCAGACATATCACCGCACGTTCTAACATTGAAAATTGACGTTCGCATCATTCTTTATGAAACATCAATCCACTACCCCTCTGAAATGATACTAGGCTTTCAGTGAAAAAGTTGATGTACAACAAAATCGAAGCCATAATTTTAAATGAAAAATTTAAAGGCGAACATGTACTATTACCACGCATCCCAATCAGGGGTGTATTTAGACTTTCTTCTAGGCAGGGTATTCAAATATTTGCTTTAATTCAGTCTCGAAATGTACAAGTAAAATTTTTGGTAATATTTAAATCAGGTGAATCCTTAATATTTGTGGTTTTTTTTTAAACTAATGCCGGATCCATTTAAAATCGACTTTTGTGTAGTTCTTTTTTAACACTTGTCTGTGTTTTGAAAGTTACGCTTGTGTTTTATTTGATTTTTTCACTAAGTATAGACACTAAGTATCGTTTTAAAATGATCCACATTAAAAAAATTTGAAATATGGATCTCACATATGATCGATTCCTTAAATACGGATTCTGAAGGGGCGATCGCCCCCTTTGTCCTCCTAAAACACGCCCCTGATCCCGGTGATTCCAACCGATTAGCCATTGGAATTCAAGCTTTTGCAGTTTCCAGTGCGACTCGCTTTTGCAATAATTATTAACAAAGCACAAGGACAATTAAAACAAATGTGTTGACTGAATTTTGAAAATTCATACTTCTCACATGAACAACTGTGTGTGGCTCACGCGTCAGAAAACCTGATTTATTTGTGTACGCACCACAAAAGGAAAAACAAAAAATATTGTGTAATCCAAATGCACTTTAATAAATAGCATTTATTTGAAACCTCGAATTGTCAGACTTTTCTCGATACATTGAATAAAAAAAAATATAATGATCCGAAATAAATTGAACATTGTTGTAAGGATATTTGTAAATGCTTATATATAGTTAATGGCACAACAAGGCGTGATGAATATGGCTATATTTAATAATTACCTATTACAATACATGAAAAATTATTATTTCAACCGTTATTTCGGGTGATTTATACTTAAAAAGCCATAGGTTCTACGGTAACACCCAAAAAGAGTTGAACACTCACAATTTTCTCTACGGCCAACGTTAGGTATTACTGAGTAATACCTGACGTTAGTAACTTATGCCTCACTCTGTATTTATAAATATTTAGTGAAGGGGGGTGGGGGCGCTAAAAATGATTCTTGGCACCTGACGCTAATTATGCTATGCACGGCACTAAAAGATAAGAAATATATACATATATGTACTCGTATTACAAAAAATAAATTAGAATTAATCATATTGACAATAAATGTAGTTAGCATTGTAAAATGTGATTTATCGAATTGTAAAATTAATACTATTTCATTTCATTATAAACACTACCAGACGCGGATTCAGGGGGGCTATCGTATCAGGACAGAGTCCTGTCATCTTAGATGCCAACAAATTACATTTATGTTATAAATAATATAATTTGTTATTTTTCAATGTAGAAATAATAATAATAATAATATCAATGCTTTTCGTTTTTGCCGTCACATACGACAATAATAATTATTGTTATTTGTTATCTAAGTATACTCGTATGCAGTCCTCGAATTGGAAAAAAAATTGAGGACAGACGCTGGTTTTAGTTCAAAAAACACCGTTCCATAGCTGATAAATTGTAAAGGAACCCGTTGTGGACTTTGTCCCCCGCACCCCCCTGAAAATATAATATTGCACTATAAAGGTAGTATTATTATATAATATTTATTTGCTTATTACTTTAACATTATTTTATAACGAAATAATAATATTAATTACAGAAATAAATATTATTCTTTAATTAAATTACCACAATGACTTGTATGCATTTTCTTCAGTAATTTTTATCTTTTTAGAACAATTTTCTTCCTCTCCTGTTCGTTTGCCTTTCTTAGCCCATGATTCAATCCATTTTGTTGTGTTAATCTTGTCAATTGGTGGAAAATTAAACAAAAAGTTCTTAAAAGGTTGTCAAAACTAGGAACACCTTTACAACTATACAACCGAAATCACTTCAAAATTACGAGTATATAATTATTCAGCCATGATTATTATCTTAGTCCGTGATTATCGTCAACGATAACCGTTTTCTGGAAAAAAATAACCATTACTTTGCAGTTAGCTATAGAAAATAAAATAAACGAAAACAAAATTAAAATACACCGTTCGAAAGTAAACATCCCAAGGGGGACTCGTTTTTAGCGTTCCTCGCTTAATTAAATGAAGGCTGAAATCTATGGAAAAATGAAAACGGACTCCATCCACCCTTGACCCCCCTACCAATTCGAGCACTGCTCGTATGTAACGATACTCACCGACGGCGGAAAGAACCAATAGTTATTATTATCTATTAGATCGTTATTCGGTATTCACTATTATTTTTATAGTATGATTTTGTTTATATGTCTCAGTTTGCTCGTGACTGCCTGACAAATACTATATTAGTATAACACGGTTTCTTTTTTTTATTATTACTCCAGTTTTCATACATCTTTCATTTTAAAAATATATACTTGTATAATTTCTATAACTATTTTACGATGTAGAGTTCTAAAAATGTCTTTGATTCCACTGAATTTCACAAAAAACGTGAACGTTCTGTCAGTACTCAGAGATCATTGATGTCATTTTTTGCAAAGAAAATTAATTGTGCTGAACATTATGAAGTAGTTAATGAAGAAAATGTAAGTACTACTTGTACTCATAATAATAATTCAACACTTGTCAGTGGCGGACGCAGGGAGGAGTTTTGGTGGTTCACCCCCCCCCCCCCCCGAAATTAATGGATGATAATTTCAAACGTAGTTATCCTATCTTGTACCTTAAAAAAATGAATTATTCAAAATACGATTAAAATATGTTAGAAAAAAATGTTTTGTTAAGAAAAGTGAATTTGTAAAAATTTTATTATTTCATTATAATTAGACGTTTCAAAGATAAGACAATGAACCTGTGACCCATCTTCATAATTTTTGCGACTTCTTCGTATTTTATTCATAATTTATTTTTAATTATTATTATGAGATAAAAGCAGTTTATAAATGTGCTAAACTTATATTAAGCCACATTGATTATAACATGAATAGTTTAAGTATTATTCTATACTTACCAACACTTTTATAGTTTAAAAAAAAACATCTATTATTGGTATGAAATGTATTTTCTGGACTTATTTTATAGTAATACAACGTACTATATTATTCGATACCATATAATATATAAGTAAAACGCATATTGGGTTGTATTAAACTATTTTCATCAAAGATAAAATGTTCACAAATTACTATTAGATTTTATAACTAACCAATAATTGTTATGCGGCCTAAATATGGCTACTACAGTAAAACTGTGATTGTTTGACCTTCCTCATTATAAGTCTTTCGCGTTATGTATAATTTATGTCTATAGACATTGATGCTATAATGCAGCGGTTCCCAACCTTTTCAAGACTATTACCCGCAAACCGGGTAAGATATTAGTAAATACCTCTACCCACTAAAAAAGCAAGTGTGCCTGGCCTAACATAAAACCCGCATTATCGGGTTACGGGTTATCGTAACCCAATTAGATTGATTTATAGAACCGGAATGATAGATAAATGTATTATAAAAGGAAAAATTTTATTTTTTATTTGTATTTTTGTGAAAATGTTTCGTTTCACAAAAGATAATCAAAAGTACACTGTACAAATATTATTTGATGATAATAAAATAATAACAATAATTAATAACACATAATGAGTACATACAAAAAAAAAAAAAAATCATTCCAGTCTTTACCCCTCAAAGAATCCTTTTTACCCCTTGGAGGTTAATTACCCTCAGGTTGGGAACCGTTGCTATAACGTCTCTATGATTAATTACATTGAATAATGAATATATATTGTTAGTTGCTAACTGCATTTGATTTTGACTATAGAATGTGTGCCTTTTTTGTGTAACGACACGTTTTAATGTCTTAACCAATACGTATTAGTCGGTTGGTATTTAAGCTTATGACTATTATAGGTAATGAACGATTCTGAGTATCTACTTAATTTTTTATTGGACGGATTTACTATTATTATTTCAATTTGAATTGAATTCGATTGATAAACGTACTTTTTTTTTTTTTTTAATATAAATATGTATTTACAATCTGTAATATAATAAAACAATAAGTAAATTTGATAATTTTTTTACAAGATTTCGAGACTTGAGTGAAGAGGGTAGTAACTCGACACTATTTCAAAATGTTTTTTTTTTTATTTAATTTAGAAAAGTAAGTAAATAAATAAAAAAAAACATACTTATAATCATACATATGTAATTTAACTAAGTAATATTTTTAATATTTTTAAGAGGTTGCGATTCTATTTTAATTATAAATCACATATACATGTGTGTGTGTGTGTACAATGTACAATAATTGTTCGTACTGCTGTCTAATCGTTTTTAGTCACTGTGTAAAAGTAGAGTAAAAACACAAATTATTTAAAGTAGAAGAAATATAAATTTGTTCAGTACTGTAAACCTAATTAATAAATATACACAGTTAATATAATACAACATTATTACGTAATCATTTTAAAAATATTACTTTAAAAAATGTTTTCACAACTGCGTTTAGTATAATATATTAATTTTTTTTTTTTAGTTATTATTTTTATAGTTATTGTTATTACACAAGTGAATCCTAAACAAAGTAAAAGTTTCATCAATATTTTTTTGTAAGTAGAATTTTTAGGTTTGGTTATTGTCTTATAACAATAGAAAGTTGTTTGCTGTATATTAAATGATCAGTTGCTCCAAAGAATCTGGATTTCATGACATTATCAAGGCTACGTAACCAAGGATTTTATTCGGAGAGCTCTTCTTATTCTTTTGGTTCAAGTGTATAATTATATTCCAACTTAATTTTTTATTTATTTACGTATTGTTTTGGTCAATTATTAGTAAAATAACAATTTTTACATATAAAATCACATGAAACAGTAATCCGTAACAGCAACACATTTCCCGGTAACTATTGTGAAATATTATTTTTACTATAACTAAAAAATATATCTGACTATTCGGTTCTGAGTTCAGCTTTAGTTGTGGCATTGTTGTTATGTACATAAGTTTTAGCTAAAGGTCAAATATTGCATTCTAATGTGTTTTCAAAATGACTTTCTTTGTATAAAGAGAACTATTTGCTGTTAAAGTTAACTTGTAATTTTGTAGATATAGTTTTGTATTGATTAATAAACAGATAAAAATTAATAATTACTTATTCATTATTTTTACATAATCAAATAACATTTACAATTTAAACTTAAAATATCACTCTTTTCTGACTATCAATTTTAACTGTTCCTAGTTACTTTAAAATCAATCATCAATTATGTTTCATTGGTAAAACAAATGTTAGTATCCGATAATTAACCAACAACTACCTACAATGATTTGAATAATTCGAATAATTAGTAACCTACCAAATAAATTCGTAACCGGTTAAACACCAGAATTCTTAACACTTGTATCTAGTATCGCTAAGAGTAAACTTGTTAAAATATAAATGTGTGGTTTATATTTACATGTTAGTATACATTTGCTTGTACTTTTTTTTTTTTTTTATAATTTATGATAGTCATTTATCGCTATAATTTGTGTCATAATCACACATTTAATATAATAGGTGATATCATACAATAATTTTCTTGGTAGAACACAACAATTATCATAATATTATCACAAAAAGTGTATTTATATATTTGGCTCGTTTTTTCAAATGTATCTTATCTCTTTACAGTCGTGAGACATAATAACGTAATAAAGTAGAACTTATTAATTAGGCTCTGGCGCCGAGGAGAACTAAATCAATACTGACGAGTGACGTTCCACTAAATTCGTTAATGACACAACTGAAAATATTATTTTATGTTATCATTAAAATTTATATCAGTGTAAAATTAAAAATCAAGGCAAATCACTGCGAGTTGAGATGTACTACGACATAATATAATATAATTTTCAGTTGAAATCTACTCGCTGATTGCAGTGTACATCATTATGCGGTTAACAACTGTATAGAATGAATGTCCAGAATTCATTCTTTAGCATGTTACTTATGGGCTATGAGGTAATTATGAATTTATTATTAAATTATTTTATTACTTCATTTGTGTTGTAAAATTGTTTGTCTTTCATTTTGAAATCATTCTTTAGGAGATTTGCAGCAAAGTAACTGCTATTGTGATTCTCTTTTCCAGTTGATATACTTGCATGTACTGTGAAATACACAATGGTTGACAATTTAGATAAGTATATTGATAACTATTCCAAAGAATGGCGTCAGGCCTTAGCCTTGTTATTGATGGCTGGCACTCCAGGGATATTCAATGCAATTCAAATATCATCATATGTGTTTCTAGTCGATAAACCATCATACTGGTGCGATATACCTGTTTTGAGAATAGCAGGATGGAATGATCAGATGATCTTAAACGTATCTACACCGTAAGATTAAAATATAACAACATTTACCAAATTCTATGATTATTTACTATAGAATATTGGGATAATGTCTGTATATTTTAAACAACATTGCTAGATAAAATAATTACATCCATAAATTAAATTGATTTTTGAAAAATGGTAAATCAAATTAGATTTTAAATTGTTGATTTATATTTTTTTAAGTTTTATTAAATAATTTGTAATAATTTATTTTCTTTATGTATTTCAATAGTTATTATATTAATTGAAACCCAAAATTTGAAGTACTATACATACTTAATATACTAACATAAATAAAGGATAAAAGTTGTTTGACAATAATTTTTAATTTACACTTTTATTTGTTTAATTTTTTAGA